GAGAGAGAGAGAGAGAGAGAGAAAAGAAAAAATTATAATCCGTGTTGTAACATCTGCTTAATAAACTTCTTGAGTGTCCTTATAAATTGCAACTTATTCTCTCTCTCTTTATCTCTCTCTCTCTCTCTCTCTATTTCTCTCTTAGAATTTATTTCCTATCGATTTGCAATCTATTTGCTGTTCGACCTAATGCAATTCCGTACGAGGTGTCACAAGATTAGAGAACATCGTTGACCTAACTCAGGTCTATGCAATTTCGTGAACAAATTACAGACTCTCTCCTTCCAGTCTGACATAAAGGAAGGGACGCTTTTACACGTTCCACGAACCGAGACGCGTATTCGTCACCTTATAGGGATCTTTTTACTTCGAAACCAGGAGCCCCTAACTATCTTTTATACATCAACTTGGTCTCGTCGTAGTAGACAAGTACGAACGAGCACACATTTATATCAACCGCTTTCTTACATCGACCGGCACCGACTCTTTTTCCTCGTTTCGTTGATGATTTAAAATCGTCTCAGCAGCGGCGCGAAGTTATAAAAAGAAAAAAGAAAAAAGAAGAAGAAGAAGAAGGGAAACAAAAAATGAAGAGAAAAATACAAAAAAGATAAAAGATGGATAGTAAAGACAAAAAATAAGGATTACGTTCCCTTTAACGTCGAGCTTCATTTCATTAATAAATAAGAACGGTAATTTATGCTTCATTGATCCGGTTGGAAATATAAAGAGGAGAAGAAATAAATATATATATGTGGGGGAGATAATCTTTCGTTGAGAATAACGATCAACGAGAACATAGCAATGACTTTGGACATTGTATATGTGTGTGTGTGTGTGTGTGTGAGAGAGAGAGAGCAACGTTGATGGCAAACGAGGTGGATAGGCTACTTCAGTGATATAAACGCGCTTGTACCGTCGGTTAACTCTGAAAGCGTCCATAGATACCTATGTACGTCAAAGACAGAAGGGATAGCTTTGATCCGTGGGTGTTAAAATATTTCTATTCGAGAATTCGCCGAGTGACACTCATGCTAGAGCTATATACATGCTCGTACTACGGTACCCATTTACGCGTAACTATATTTTACGTTTCCCTTGCGAGCAATAGGGATTCGGGGGGAAGGGTGGGGACCCTTTTACGCGAGAGTCAAGGCCGTTTCTGTGTTAGGACAAATTTATTACTTAAAAACGGTTCGATGAGATCCAAGGTTTCGCAAGTAGGCTATGAAGAACGAGCGCGCGTGAAAATAGGGTTGGTTAAATGGAAAATAAACGCGTGGGGGAGACAATACAAAGAGGAATTTAAAAATGATCACAAATGATTCTCATCGATATCGAATAATCGATCAACTTACAGTCTTTTACGCAAAACGCGCCGATAATCCAGAGCGGGAAGAGCGGGACGATCAGGAAGTTGAGATATCTCGTGTTTGCGTTCGATCGTAGACTCCTCCCGACGTGCAGCCTCAGGTAAACCATGATCGTTTCACGTGAATCTTACGCGGCTCGATCATAGCAACCGATCGTAATCGTTGAATAAAATTTCACGGCACATTCTCCTTATATGTATATATTAGTTTTTTTTCCCTTGTGTACTTCTCCTTCTTCTTCTTCTTCTTCTTCTTCTTCTTCTTGTTTACTTTTCTATTTCTTTATTATTATTTCAAACGAAACCACCACCACTTTCGAAAAGCAGCGTGGACCTCGAACACATTTCGTTCATCTCGCGTATTATTTATTACTATCGGATAATAACAACTTCAACACGAGGTTAACACACTTTCCGTAATATTTCGATAAATGAAAATCGAATAAACAACTCGCGACACAAGTCAAATCGGTGCTTTGCTTTTACTTTTTTTTAATTCTTCGGTTGTGCACCCAAATCGTAGACACGTTAATTCTCTCCCTCTTTCTTGTTTTCTTTGATTGAAAATTCTTTCAAATAGAGAAACACACGCACGACGACGCACTAATAAATCCTTTTAACTCTTTCCTTCGTGGCCACCCCCACCATTCTTCGACGATCGTCGGTCGATCTCTCTCTCTCTCTCTCTCCCTCTCTGTCAAAAAAAAAAAATTAAAAGAAATCTTTTCCCAATTGGCGCAAGTTTGAATCGTAAAGAAACAAAAATTATCCCCTCGTAGAAGAAACCAACAATAAGAACAAGAACAAGAACAAGAAGAAGAATAAGAAGAATAAGAAGAAAAAAAATGTAATAATAATAATAATAATATACTCGTTTGTTCTCTCTCTGTTTAATATTTCGGCACGCAGTCGCAACGAACGATGAAGCGAAAACGCAGTATAGTATAGTACTAGCGGCGGCACTCGAACGACAACGACGTAATGCGCGCCACTCGCCGTCGGCGAGATTTCCTTGTCCTCCCTCCCTCCCTCCCACCGGCCCAACAACCAAACCTCTCTTACTCGTCACGTATATACACGATTCGTGTGAGCGTATTGTTAGAGAACCGAACGCGGCGCACACCGTGATGCGCTCACCTGCCGCCGATGCCAACAGCACTACCCCCACCAATGGTTTAACCGCTGCTACCACCACCACCACCACCACCACCACCACCGGTAGCAGCACCCCTACTAACGCCACTGGCGCCGGCCGCAGTACCGGCAACGTCCTCCTCGTGGAGGATCCTTTCCCACCTCCACCTCCACCACCTTGCTTCCTTCTCTTTCTTCTTCTTCTTCTTCTTCTTCCTCCTCCACCTCGGTGTTCTCGACGTCCACGTCGTCCTCTTCCTTGTCGTCGTCCTCGTCCTCGTCCTCGTCCTCGTCGTCGTCGTCGTCGTCGCCGTGGCGAGCTACGTCGATCGAAAAGTGGCCTCCCGCGTTCTACGCGCCCGCGCACACGCTTTACCTCGCATGCGTATTGAACGCGACGAACGACCCTTCTTCTCTCTCTCTCTCTCTATCTTTCTACCTATATATGTATATGTATATATAAATTTCCCATCTCTCTCTCTCTCTCTCTCTTTCTTCTCTTTCTCTACGTACTCGAACTCTACGGCTTTTCTCACGTAACGCGCCTCCGACCAACTTCTTACACGCGCCCTGCGAAACAAAGCTTTCCAACCAACCCCCACCTCTTTTTTTCTTCTCATCCTCCTACTCTCTCCCTTCCCCCCCGATACTTCTTCGACATTCGCTTTCTTTATTTATCCAATACCCCGAGAACGGATCTCTCACTCTCGATTCGATCGGAGAAGAATATATATACTTTTTCTTTTTTTTTTTTTTTATTATTATTATTTCTTTCCTATCGGAATTTCGAGAGAGAGAGAGAGAGACAGATATTGTTTTTCATATTAAATGAAAAATAAATATTACGATGAGAAAATTTTCAATCGTTGGGAGAGGAAGATCCACTCTTATCCTAACGTCGTCGGTCAAGTTCTTTTCTTTATGGAAAAGTAGAGAAGGAATGCAATTTAATATAATATTCGTGAGATATGAAAGGCCTAGAAGTTCGTTTCAACGTTTCTTCTTTCATTGCACTTTTCTACCAGCTATCCTTTATACGTATATGTATGTATTGTATATATATATATATATATATGTATTTCTTATTCCGAATGATTTTTCCAGGTCTCGTTTATTTCACGTTTTGCACCGGCAATGTTGCGAACCGATCAACGTTAGGTATATCGTTTGTCACATATTTTCAATGCACTTGCTTTGCGAGAACGAAAATGATTAGATTGTTTTTCGAAGAGGAAGATAAAAAGACAAGGGGGGAGGGGAGGGGGTAGAGGGAGTAGAAAGATGCTACTGCGTGATTATTGCAAAGCATTCTCTCTCTCTCTCTCTCTCTCTCTCAATTTTTTTCTCTTTTTTTATGTCGCTTCTCGGACCAATTCTTTGATGATTTCCCATTCTTTTCTTCATTTTCTTTATACATGATCGTTCGAAGATTAACTCTTTTGAGAGATCTTTTTTTTTGTTCTTCTTTTTCTTGTTTTTGTTAATATCGTTGCAGATCGTTGTCGTCGTCGTCGCGTTTAACGATAGAGAAACTAGATCGGACAGAAGTTAATCAGAAAATATTTCCAGGCCAATTTTGGCTAACGCCGATAGACGGGAAACAACAATAATCTTCTCGCGAACGAACCTAACGATCCCCCGTTGCAGGTAGGCGAGGAACGTTGATGGTGCTCCAAGAGATTGAAGAATGTACGCTGTAATTATCCCGAGTATTATTACATTTTGTATGTTATCGCGTTATAGACTACTCGTTTTCCCTATTCTTGGATAAACTTGCTATACCGATCGATACGACGATCTCCGTTACTCCAGGTCCCAAGAGAGGGAGAGAGAAAATATTTTAGTAAAATAAAAAAAGAGAATAAAAAGAATTGAAAGGAAAGGAAAGGGAMAAAAAAAAAAAGAGGAATCGGTAAACGAGAGAGTGAACGCGTAATGGGATCCAGAGGTAGGTAAAGAAAAATCGTATTACAAAGTATTCGGATATTCATAGGTCGTAAGTTTGGTTGATAAGCGAAGGAGAAGAATTTGAAGGAAGATATTTGTAATGGAAGCGTTCGAAAGTTCAACTCTCGACAAGTAGAAAATATTATTTAATATAATCGTATGATATATAATATATTATAACATCAAACTATATATATATTCGGTGTTATGGAAGATCAATTTTGTATCTTTTCAAAAAAAAATAAAAAATATATATATATATATATATATTTTACTTGCGTTAGATAAAAGAGACCCGCGCGCGAACCCTACGAATGTAGTTGTGGAAGGAAACGGACGTATTTTTTTAATCGTCCGATAAACTATTAAGTGTGGATATAAAAAAAGATGAGGAAGAAGAAGAAGAAGAAGAAAAAGTTCTGGCCAGTTGCCAGTTGGACGATTCCCCGCGTTAACTCGGACACGTCGAACTCGAGTTTTGCGTTATTCTAAGCGATAGGAAGTACCTAACCCCCTACCCCTAAACCCCTACCCCTATCCCTGCTTGCCCATCGGCATCCTTTTATGCTTTATATGATAAATTCGTATTTGGGAAAAATATTCAAGTTAACGCGAAACCTTCCTACTTTTCTACCTAGGACGTAGATATATTCTTCGATATTATTCATAAAGGCGAAGAGGGTGCGCGACGGTAGACTGTGCCTTTACCTGTTATGTGCTCAGCTCACACCGGGTAAAACGATAACCATAAGCATCGTACAAGATCTACGGGCTCGATCGTACGTGCGATACTTACGGACCGATGCTAATCTTTCTTTTCTTAACGACTAACCGAAAAGAAAAATGAGATAATAGTTCATTTCTTATCTTACAAATGTAAAAGCGATTTCAAACGAATAGACGACGTGTGTGCGCGCGCGCGTAAGTGTATGTGTTATGCTGATTAATGAATGCTTTATTTTTAGGCTTTCTTGCTTTTAATTTCTTTCTTTCTTTCTTTATTCTTATTCGAAATATTTGATATTCTTTTTATTTTTTTATTATTAAGTCAAGAGAGAAAAAATGAGAGAGAGAGAGAGAGAGAGAGAGCTATGGGATGAATGCCAAGGGATTTCTAACCAAGAATATAAACAGTAGAAAATAAGGTTCCATGGTGTGGTGCGGTTATTAGCCCAGTCGCGTAATTCGAACTCGTTCTTGGGAAGTACTAGATAAAGAGAGAAAGAGAGAGAGAGAGAGAAAGAGAAAGAGAGAGAATGCGAAGTATATTTCCCAGGGAATCCTATTCGTGCGAGATCCTTCGGCCGTTTTAACATTTTTCACAACGGCCTGCTTTATCTACCACTTGCGTTCGCGCGCTCGCGAATTCACGAAAGAGAAAAAGAGAAAGAGAGAGAGAGAGGGAGAGAGGGAGAGAACAGGGACGAGCTCACACGTTTATCTCTTGGCTTGCTTTTCTAATATTTTATAAGTTTATCCACCTCTCTCTCTCTTATACGAAAGAAAAAAAATTCGATGAAATATTTATAACGCTTGAAAATGAAAAAGCTGCTTATATTTACGCTCGACAATGACTGGCTGCGGAGATCGCAAGAAACAAAGTACTTATTTTATACTTTGGACAGGGAAAGAACTTTGGGAATGATTTGCCGTAAGAAGAAGATGGCCAGTGAAGTTCGCATCCAGTACAGTACGGTATCCATTTGATGAAACAAAAGGGAATAAGAGAGAGAGAGAGAGAGAGAGAGAGAGGAATGACGAGCTCGTTTATTTGTTGTATGTACATATTATAGAAAGCCGACTCTCGATAAATATCGCTGGCAGATGTAATATCGTGGAAAACCCAAGGGAACACGTGTTACCATCGAATGGAATAAATTTACGAAATCGTTACATTTTATATTTGACAAGTCTTTAGAATTTATGAAGACGCAAGAAGAGTAAGAGAAAACAAAAGAAAACGAAAGAAAAGAAATGAAGAAATGAAGAAAAGGTTCCCTCTAACTCTCGTATATTCGTCTTCGCTTATTTCTTTTTATCCCTAACGTGTTCGTGACACGTGCCACGTGTCAGAGTCCACGTTTAACCGGATGTCGGACAGCTTAAAGGCACCTTCCGTCGCTTGCTCGTACCTTTCTCGCAACTGTCTGTCATATATATAGATATATATATATATATATAAATAAACTACCCCTAAAGTGAAAATAATAATGCTACTTTTATTCACCTAACTGTATCTTAAATATAATATAGCAGAACCATGAACGAAACGTATTCAATTTAACGAGACGCAATCGTACCTATCTTTTGCGTTCCCGATGAAATTTTTCTCCCTCTCTTTCTCTCTCTCTCTCTCTCTCTCTCTCTCTTACTCATTTTCTTTCTATCCTTTCTCCCGGCGTTCGCTCTACTTTCAAGAAATTGGATCGACGATGGCGATCTTAAGCGCCGCGTAAAAGATAAATTTATGGTAAATATTGAGGTTTTGAAGCAAGTGCGAGTAAATGTTGGGGATGAGGGGGAATGGAGACACGCGGCTCTTTCAATTCCATCGCGTTTTACTAGAAAAAGAGAGAGAGAGAGAGAGAGAGAGAAGAAAGAAGAAAGAAGAAGCAAGTATCCCACAGCTTTATCCTTTTACTCCGACATCTACCGTGAATCGGTTCGCTCTATTTCTCACACTCTTTCTTTCTTTCTTTTTCTTACATGAATGGAGACGCGTGGAAAGAAGGAACGAGTAGGAGGAAGAAGGAAACCAACCCTTAGGTAGGAAGAGAAGAGAGAGGAAAAATGAAGTTTCAGTCCTCCTCGGCGACAAATATCATCGTAGGAAACGACAATCTTTTACAGACGAACGCACCTACAACTGCATTCCTTTTTCATCGATTTTTTTTTCTTTTCTCTCTCTCTCTCTCTCTCTTTCTTACTTACTTTCTTTAGTAT